TCAAATCAAGTTTAACTTTCAAATCAAATTTAGAAACCCCAAATCTTCCTTAAACAAAATCAATAATTTTAAATATCAAGTATTTAAGAGAACAGCCGAAGGGCAATTTTGTTGTCGTTTAGCGGTGTCATAAGCATGTTCCCAAGTGATCCTATCAAAAAAAAATTGGAGCAAAGCTCAAAGCCTTTTTTTTTGCTCGAGATATTGATATATGCATATATAATTCAATTCATAACCTTCGCTCATGAATTGACTTATATATTCATATTTTGGATCCTTCACTCGGGTCCAAGCGTTGTCACACAAATAGGACTGAATTTACTAAATACGATTCCTTGAAATTCTTCAATACCAGACTCGAAGATCAGCAAAAAGTTTATCGAAAGGAAAAAGAAAAAAAAACGAATAAATTTGTATATTGAAGAAAAACTTTCGATAGTAACATATAAAAATAATTTGCAAAGGGCTGAAAAGAATTACAACCAAAACTTCGTTTTTGTTTTTTTTTCATAAACAATTTTTTAGACAAAAAATGCTTTATAAAAGCATCAGAAGCAAATAAAAGCAAATTGAAAAACCATGATAATAAAATAGTTGAAGGTCTTAGACTCTTTTTATTCAAGTAATAGTGAAATAATTTTGCCGGCATACACTATACACAAAATGATCTTGGCGATTTGGCTTGTTGTGAAAAAGCATCAATTCGCAAAGTTGAACTAAAAGGCGACGTTGCACTTAGCTTACACAGGCGGTAAGACTCCAAAAAGTAGATGATCAAAAAAAAATATAGACAGAGGCGAGGCGGAGCTTCGCACCACTTAGGATACAACACAAACATAAGAAAACTTCTGTCTAAAAAAAATTAGATACTGAAAAAAAAACTAGGTGAACCAAAAATTTCGTATGTCTCGATAAGAATTAACTACGAGCCCAGCTAAAGCTGGAGGTATGTGTTTGATATTGAATGAAGTTGCAATACTGATGCGGCATGAAAATTGTGATTTCAAAGATTGGACTTTGCCTTAAACCTTAGTTTTTTCTCTACTAAAATAAGTAAGAGCAAGAAATTGCGAGATAATCAAATTTCCCAAGGAGATAACATTTCTCCTACAAAAAATTTCGGAATCGCTGATTCTGCAGGAACAATTACCGCATCCCGCTCTTTCAATGAAACTATTCATCTCAAATTTGATTGAATAAATTTTCAGAAAATTCGAAAAATTTCTGATAAACGATCGAAATTTCTACAAAAAGTTGAAAATACTTACTAAAATCCATAAAGTCTTTCTGCAAAAAGCAGGTTATGGTCGCTTAAGCAGAGAAAATGTCCAAAACCAGGTTTCTTGATTGAACACAGCCTGACATTTGGCCGGGTAGTTTTCGCTTAAAGTCAATGAGTTTCCAAAAAACTGTCAAAGTTTCAAAACTTTGACTTGTTTGAAGGCCATAACTTTTTTCAGGCCAAACGAAATGGGCATAGCCAATTATAAAAGAAGGCTTTTCAATAACCCGCTCATTCCATTAAACCAAAAATATCAGATTTGGCAGTTATGCAGAAAGGATTCACGCAACATGTAGTTTTGATTGAACCCAAAACCTCCGATTTGGGAGGGTAGTTTTTTAGAAAAGTCAAAAAGTTTCAAAAAACGGTCACAAAATCAAAATTTTCAGTTTTTCGAGGGTATACTTTCGGAGTCAAAGAAATTTGAGCATACTCCCATAAATAAATGAACTTCCCGAAGCCCGTTCTGAGAATTGAACCTAAAATTTCAGGTGTGGCAGGGTAGTTTTCCAGAAACTTCAAGTTTTAAACAACGTGCATAAAATCAGAAGTTTGACTTTTCAGAGAGCAATAACTTTTTGGTTAAAGCTTTTTGTTAGTGCCCGCTAACACGGAGGAGCTTCCCGCTACCCGTTATTTCATTGAACCCACAATATCAGATTTGACAAAACGGCAGAACAATTTTTTTTATTATTTCGAGGGCCATAACTTCATGTGCGAAAAATTGAGTCCTGGCGAATTATGCAGAAGATCCTTTCAAAACAATTCTACCCATTGGAACCAAAAACTCATTTTTGAGAGGGGTAGTTTTTGAGACAACGAAAAAAAAATCAAAAAAAAACGGGCCAAAAGTTCTCCAACATTTTTTCGAAAGCTATAGACGGAAGGGTCAAGTAAAAAGAACTGTGGAGGAGTATGCAAGCAAACATAGTAGTAAGCGGTATTTCAATTGATACTCATTTTTGAAAATCAAGAGAAGTTTCAAGAAAAACTAAAACTTTTGCGAAAAGAAAACAAATTCAAAACGAAACAAGAGGTAGTGTTAAGAAGGTGTTATCTTGAATTGACCCTAAATTAGGTCATTAAGCCGATAAAAAATGGCCGGAAAATATTTTGGTCGAAGAATTTTTTTAGCGAAACAAGAATCAAGGAGGCGTAAATCAAACACTAAAAACTAAACACAAATTCTCGCATAAAAAAATATTTTCAAGAGGTGGCAACCAAGCCGACAACAGATAAGCAGACAATTGATCTGCCGAAAGTTTTATTTGAAGCAGAAATTTTCCCGTTTGGAAAAAAACACGTCTCGGCCAGATTCGAACCAAGGACCTTTGCCGTCCCAGGCATATTCGTTACATGCAGGCTAAGTTGGCCGGGAAAGCTAAGAAACTGAAAACAATATGAAACAAGGTACAGATGAGTCCAGTCGTCCACATGAATCCCGTGGACAAAGTTTTTTACGCGGAAAAAACATTTAGTACCCGGTTGCAAAACCCTTGCTTATCGCTAGGATAATTAGGCTGGTTTATTCTAAAATATGTATAAATTCCGCTCATGTAGGATTCGAACTGCCACCAGGTTTCTCGGACTTATCGGTCAGTCGATAGTAAACAATCATCAACTTGTTACCGAAAGCTTTGCTGCTAAAAAATAACAAAGAGTTGCTAAAAATTTCGAACTGCTTGAGCTGAATACTCGAAAAAAACTTTCAATGAAAATTGTCAACAAAATCATTTCAAATCAGTCCAAAACGCTAGAGTTCGAAAATTTGTCCGGAATGAACTCAATGAAAAGTAGACCTTTTAAGGCTTATTCTGGGTTTTATGCAGCTCACTTTAGACACAAAGGCGAAGCTGAGCTTCGCACCACATGCGATACAACACAAACATAAAAAACTTAGGTCGAAAAAAAATAGGTCAGCCAAAATTTCCGTAATCCTCGATAAAATAAAATAGGGACCAGCTAAACCTGGAGGTACGTGTTTAACGCTAGAGATACGTGTTTTGTGATGCGTAATCAAATGGGTAACTTCAAAAACAAGACTTGGCCCAACAGAAGTCAGAAGAAAAAAATTGAGATATAAAAATTTTCCCAAGGACGTAACATTTGTTGTAAAAAATCAAATAGTCATCGGGTCGCTGAAAAAATTTTCACAACCAGTTCTTTCTTTTGATTCCTTTATCTCAGGTTTGATAGGGTAATTATCATGAAAAGGCAAAACTTTTGTCAAAAAGATTCTAAAAAATGGTAACAAATTCAAAAACTTCAATTTTGATATCCGCAACTTTTTTTCTGCCGAGGCCACGTCAGCAGAAAAGATTACCAAACCGGATTCACCACTTAACCTGAGAACTGGCAGGGTAGTTTCTGTAACAAGTCAAAAAAATTTCCAAAAACGGCCAACATTTCAAAACTTTTTTGAAAGTAAATACTTTTTTCCAAAAGACAATTTGTGCAGAGCTTTAAAAAAAGTAGGCTCTGTACAACCCAATAAATCAATTCAACCCTTGATGCCACAAATCTGACTTCTAGGGCCACAAATCTGACTCCACGGAGACACACAAAAAAATTATTTTCGCGAATCGAAGCTTTCTTTGGAAAAACAATTCACAATGCCTGTAACTGCGATTGAAGCCAGAAAGACAGATTTGTGAGAATACTTTTTGAGAAAAGTCAAATAAAATCAAAAAACGGTGAAAGAAACAAAAATGGACTTTTACGAGAATCATAGCTTTTGATAACAAAAAAGTTGGACATAGCAAAATTTCAAAATTTCCGGGTGCCATAAATATTTGAGTTAAAAAAAATGGGCGCGGTGGGATTTGCAAAGGAGCTTCCCATAACTCGTTTTTTGGAGTTAGCCTAAAATCTAAGATATGGAAGAGTAGTTTTCAAAAAAAATTCAAAAAGTTTTAAAAAAACTGTCAAAAAATTAAAACATTGCGAAAATTAAAAGAGAAAACGGGAGTATACTGGCACAAAAGGGAGTAAGAAGTCGTTCCATTTATATCCTTTTTGAAAATCGGTACAAAATTTTTTGAAAAAAAGCTAAACTTTTGCAAAAAAAAGAAACATTTTCCAAACGTCTAAAAAACTTTAAAAAATCCTATCCCATATTTTTCATAATAAATGTTTTCATCAAACTAGATGTCTAGGGGAAAATGCCGAGCAAGAAATTCAATTTAAATTAGCTTTTTAAGCCGATAAAATATAAGCCGAAATCATTTAAGCCGAATAAAGTTTTCAAGCAAAAAACAGCAAAATATACGAAATGAAGGCTATGAAAATTAAAAAGCGCGTAAGAGATTCAAAACATCAAAAGTAACTACATTGAAAATTGCGTTTGCCAAGCCGAACAATCAAACAGACAATCCATAGGCCGACATTTTTTCGGAAAGTAAATTTTCAGTTTGAAAAAAAATTTCTGGTCGCATTCAAATCTACGACCTCTGCCGTCCCAGGTTTTTTCTCCAGCTCCAGGCTAAGAGTCGGACATGCATAGAAGCTTGATTTCATTATAAACCAATATACAAGTGTTTGAAGTGATTCTGTTTAACAAGTTGTTAACCCGAAAAAGTCTATAATTCAGTTTGATGACGTTTGTTAATCGCAAGCGTAAAAAATTAAATTTCAACTAAAAAAATTAAATGACCCATCGCACAAAAGTCTTAGCGCTACGCGAAGACGTTATCTGAAAATACTTAGAGAAAAAACTTACCCCTACGAAAGTGACTGTAAAAGAAATGCAGATAAATATCGGCGGTTCTAAGAAGCTATTTTAGTACACACTCAGTTCAGCTAAATATCAGAAAAGCTAATGGCAAGAAATTGTTTAATGAAATAGAAACTTGCAGTTATGGCGTCCCGTAGTTTCTGTTAGTTTCCAAACCCACAATAACAGTTCAACTGTGGTATATGGTAATACCCGGCACTAAGTAATCTGAACAAAAGTATTTCCAACATGAAAACAATGTTTCCAGTAGAAAGCTCAAAATCTGCCAGAATTTTACTTACAATTCCATTGCAGTTTCAGAACTCAAACGGCACTGAAAACTAGAACGGTTTTGAAGCTTTAGGAGAACTCAGAGCAAATATTTGGGGGCGCTTTCCTCTGGGATACGATTAGAATCGGGCGGGGAGGGGGCTAAATTATATACCTGGTGTGACTTACAATTTGGCAAATGAGAGCCGAGATTGTTGTTGGAGAGATTTGGCGGCGTCAACTTACTTTACACAGACAAAATCGATACGCTTAGAACCCGAAGAGACTTTATGCAGCCAAGAAAACAAAGCAAAAACTTGACGGGCAAACGTTTCCTTCAATGACTTGAGATCATTGGCCACTTGTACCACTAAGCCGACAAAATCGCCTCTGTTCATTTAAGAGCATTTTCATGTCACAATTTCCCTTTCATCTTCGCCAATCATAATCGACGTGTTAAAAGAAACAATTCAGAAGGCAGATATTGCCGCTCCTCATTTCGAAGACCAAAGCTGTTAAAATTAAACTACTTAAGCTTCAAACTACCTTTTGACGATGAACGAGTTTTTGCCCGATTTTGCGGATTAGTGTCCGCGCGAGAAAAGTGAATATTCAAAGGTTTCAGAGCTATTAGCAATATTTTACAGATAATTAATTTGTCAACTTGTGAATTTAATCATACATCCTTGTCCTTTCGTCTGATTAAAAATTAGACTACTTCTTGGGGTCGCTACTTGTTGGGCGATTGAGATATTATAGCGACGTTTGATGCCACTACTATAGTTATTGTAACTTGCGGCGTCTGGGTTCGAACTTTCAAAGCTTGCCCGCAGTATACATTTTATAACCTCCCAATTTTCAAATTCTTGTCAAGTGTTTTGCTTCGTTCTGGATTACCCTCTTACGTGTATTAGATTTTTGCTGATATATTGCCATTGCTGGCAGCTTTATTTGCAGCCACCTATTTCCAAGGTGAAATGTTAATGCTGACACTTTGCTAATATATCACCAGTTTTTGGTTAGCCGCTTAAGTTTTGATCTGACATTTGGTAATTGAGGTTTTCGGTGTCAAAGAGTTTGTTTCGATGTCTGTCTTTTGGATACTCGAGGTCTAACGGCAAAAGGCCTAATCTATCTTAATGGCGGAAATTATGCAGAAATCTGATTGGCTGGTATCATAATTCTTCCCAAGCATTCTACCTTAAATATCCTGCAGCTCAAACCATTGCTCTGTATTAACTTCGCATGAACAACTTACATACCGTGCAAACCTGGAAGCGTTTGAATCAATTCCTTTCCTCGGCAATGGTACACACTCAGTTCATATTACTGCAGTTCAAAATTAATTCTTATCAGGCGAGCATTTAAACATTCCTACTCATTTTAAAACGTGCAGGATTAAAGTAGCGTTCGAGTTTGATACTATCGCAGTTCTTGCAGGCACTTTCGTTCGATAGACTGATCTGAATAATTTCTATAGACATGGTCCTTTTGCTTCCCAGAACAGGGGCTTAAGCTAAATACAAATGCTGTTTCAGTGAAATACAGTTGTAAGGAACAGTGTGAGAGCGTCGGGTCTTTTTACTAAAACGGTCCGAAATCATTTTCACCTATTTTCATGAATGGGGGCTATTCTCATGACGAAAGAAACGAATGCGCAAAGATTCTCAACCGTTAACGACTTTATTGCATTATGATTGCTCAACCGTCCAAAAAACCGATTTTATTATTTCATATGTTCGAATTTTTTTTAAAATCCGATTTGCTCGCAAAATTTTCAGGCATTTGTTGCTTCTTGTACGAAGGATCATTTTTCATGTTTTCTACTTTACTTAATTTGGCGCTGTTTCAATAATAATACCCAATTTTGACTACAGCTAAATTAAATATCAATAGTTAAATTTCTGACAGCCGTTGCCGTCAGAAGACACCCGTTAAAATACATAATAACATGACAAATAGTGACATTAATCAAATTTGACAAAAAAAAGGTTCGTTCTGCAATATTTGTGTTTGAGAAACACTTAAATTAATCTAATTAAAAACTTATTTAAAAAATCCTATTAAAAACTCTTATAGAAACTCTCTCTCTCTCTTAGACATTTATCTTCGAGGTTTAACAGAGATTCGAAGCTGTGTTTTGCAAACAAGAGCTAGAACACAACAATAAAGCAGCTTTATAAAGTGAAAATATATATAAATTCATATATAAATAAGCCACGTCCTGCCCTCTCGGCATCGAACACTTAACAATTTGCAAAACTAGTCACAAATAAAAGCAGCTAAATAAGCAAAAAAAACGGATCTCGAATCACAAGTGCGAAGGTCAACTAGCATTCTACATTAATCATATAGCGGTCAACGAGCAGGCATATTTGCATTCTCGACATGATTGGTCGATATTTGACCCTAAGAATAACACACTAATTGTCTGATTTTCAAGCAGCATCAAATCAAAACAAGCTGAACAGAAAATGCTTTGTTCCTTTTCCCCCCACCTGCAAAATTTTGCCAGTGAAATTTTGTTCGTGTATCCGAATGCTACAAAAGTAGGCATGCGAACTAGTTAGGCCACAAACATATTTGGTTTTCATTTTTAATCTTGTAAAAATCCTCGTTACACCATAAAATTGATGCTTGTGTGAGGTAGGGGGAAAAAGCTCAGAAAAATACTGACCCCCGAGGTCACGCCTCGAGTTGCAAGTTTGTCAGCAGAGAGTAGGACTTTCTACGAGCAGGTTATCGCACCCATCGGTAACATCAAACTTGGATTCGTCATAGTAATCTTTGACTAATTGCCCAATTCAGATTCATATGTATGCACGTTGACCGGTATGAAATGTTTGAATGCGCGATGCTACGTAACAAATCACACCAACTGAATAGAGAAAAGAGGAGAGAATGAAGTAATTTTCATATCTGTCGATAAGCATGCACAATTGGAGGATGTTGTTAACTATTTCCGCGATTATGGTACCTTGTAACAAATATCCCCCTATAAAGAAAGAATTGAACAGTTAAGCGTATACGAAATTTGTACCTTGTTAAATATTTCCTCCCTATATTGTAATACTTACTCTTTTATTCATCTTGATGCTGCTTTTGATTTCAACCACGCCATCCGCAAATAGCTAACGGTACTAGTCAGGGGCGGATTTAGGGGGGGTGGTGGCGGGCGGACGCCCCCCCCCCCCCCCTCAGGGATTCGACCCCCTGCCAACCCAAAGGGTCCCCCCTTTGATACCTTTTCAGAAATCCATTTCTGGCCAACCGACCCTTAAATTTTACTAAAGGCGCCTTCGGCGCCAATATATACTAACTTGTAGGGGAGCGCGCGCCAAAAAAAAAACGCGATTTTTTTGTCAAAATTTTTCAAAAAGTGCCCAAAAACGGCTTTTTGACTGTTTTTTAAAAAATTTGCCTGCGGCGCAGAAAATTGGGGCAAAACAGTGCTTTGGGAGAGCTCGAAAAATCAATTTAGTCGACCTAACAAAAAAAAGGTCGTCAAAATTTTGGAAAATTTTTTGAAAATCCGCCCCCCCTCGAGAAAATCCTAGATCCGCCCCTGGTACTAGTACAATAATTCCATGGAGCAACAAACCAAAACATGAATTATCATCATAAGTTACTTCAGCTCTCTATTCCCCAATTTGTGCTCAATTCAAAGCGTTACAGACCGGAGTGGACAAAAAATATATTTAATTCTGATCGTTTTTTTTATAACAGCGGCTGATTGCACGTCAACTCTTAGTGCTGATTTAAAATGCCGATTTGAATTATCCGGACAAAACGAACGAAACTTGAAAGTTGGGTCGAGATAAGACCAAATGTTCAGAAGACTATTGCAAAAGAAGCCTCTTTCATAGCCCAAAATTCTAGAAGGAGAAAATCTCCAAACATTTGTGAAAATGTATCTTCGCTTGATAACCAAAAACGTCATTTTTAATATATACAAACCCAACTCTTTGCTTAAAAACAAATTTTGACGTTATTGCAGTTTTTGAAGAATTTAACCTTCTGAACTTCGCGCTGGGCTGTGTAAGAAGCTTGATTTTGATATAGTTTTCTTATTAATTAATTATTAACTAAAGCCTTCGTGCCTTGCCTTTAGTTTACGAGGTCAAATCAGATAAATTCCTTTAATGAATATCATTGCTGCTACGTTTGTTCTAATATTGACAATTGAAACATCGAGGAAAAACAAAGTCGTTGCAAAATGAATTAGGTATTCCAACGAGCCATCAATCGTAACATAATAAATACGAGTAGTCATTTATCAGTACATTAAGCAAACAATACAACCAGAGGAGCTTCAGTTTCAGGAGAGTAATTGTAACAAAAGTCAGTTTGATACATTTTTTAGTTATAAATTTCATCTGAGTAGTTGATCCCGAATTTCAATTTCCCCTCCGATGCCCCTCTGGTTAGACTCAAAATCCGAGCCAGCAAAAAGCACATGGAAAGCAACAAATTGGAGTATTTTTGAAAATGCACAGCAAACAACAACACTCCAAATCGGACAGCAGAAAAACAACAAAGACCCCGTTTACATTCAGTTCCATCATTCATGCAAACAAAAAAACTTCCATCATGAACTTCAATTGTTTTATTATGTTGAAGTTCACAATTACAGCCCCAGTTAACATATTGACAATTGGCATAGCGTGCTTCTTCGTTTTCAGCGCAGTCATTGTTGTTCTTTTTATAATCGTTGCTGATGACACTATCACTGCTTTTTATAATTGACTTGTTTAATTTATTCAACTCCCCCTTAAGTCCACATCGGTCGCATTCGGTTCGACTGGTGGTGCCCCCTGTCTCCCCTATCCCCCCGGTGATGGTCTCCTCGGTTGCCCCCTCCCCTCTGGTTCCGATTGTCTCCCCCTTCGCCCCCTCCACGGTTGTCCTGGTTGCGATCCCCCTTGTTGCCCCGATCGCCCTGATCTCGGTTCGATCCACCCTAGTTTCAATGCACTTACATTAGTCACATTGACTTTCAATGAAAAATTTCAATGCACTCACGGAGACTTTATGAAAAACTTACAACATTCGAGTTTTAAAGAAAACAATATCACATTTAACCTCTTTAATAGTTGAGTAGCTCATAGTTGACACTTCTTCGATAAAACTAACCCAATTTGAGAAAACTGGAGCAATGTTAATTATCCCATACATAGAGAGAGAGAGAGAGAGAGAGAGAGAGAGAGAGAGAGAAAAGAGAGGAAAAAAGTAATTGTACCTGAAACATGTAGTGCATGTTTTTGTTGCCCATGGCTTCCAGCAGTCGTTCGTTGCTCTCCACCAGATGGTTCAACTTCTCACTAAGCTGGTTGCACAGTTTCTGCACACTGGACGGGTCACTCCTGTGGGCCACCACACAGTTGCTGGGCTCATCCCACGACGCCTGAAAAAAAAAGAAACGAGTTACAGGGTGGCCTCTTTATATTCTTCCCAGCTCCAAATTTTACCCAATAGTGGAAGGCGGGTGAAGCTGGGTTTAAAAAATTCTTTGACCTTTTTTGGGGCAACCGGATTGAATTTACGAGTTTTTCGATTTTGGATCATTAGCCCATTTTATTATAATCGAACTACACGAAAAAAAAAACGTTTGACCAATAAATTTACGTTTGTTGGGAAAACAAAAGGTAAGGTTATGAGAAAAAATTTTCTCAAAACAAAGACGGCCATTTTAATTAGCGCTGTAACAACGACATCACATACTTTTAGCTGAGATATATTTTATAGCGGGGCTAAACTTGACGTATATTCTTTATTATTCAGTAAAGTATGTTCTTTATTATTCAATAAATTTTTTTTTTAAATTTATTCAACAGGGTAAAAGGAAAACATGTTTTTACCTGAAGCTCTTCAGTGATGATGAGTTTGGACACTATCGAATGAACTGTATGAGTTTCCAGTCGGAACAAACGGGCTAGGTTATCCAGACTTATGGTTGAAAACTTGCTGCCAAACGTGAACAAGTATGCTCTCAGGGACTCCTCTTGTATTTTTCTCTTCAACATCACTTTCACTGACTGTGGACGAGGAAAAAGGTCCCAGACCCTTGCGTTCATTTTCGGGTTGACAACGTAGTCGTAACACATTTCCCATTCGCCCATTCTCATAGCTTTAGCCGCTGCGATCACGTGTTCATGCATGTTCTCAGGCGGGCCCGGCAAAGGTTGTCGCTCACTTTGTTTCAGCTGATTGTGAAAACTCTTGCTAATCATGCGTCTCTTCGTATCTCCCTCGTGACATGCCATATATGGTATCTCTAGTAGCATAGCACTCACAAGGTACACACACTCGAGCAAGTCCAAGTTGATGTGGGTGTGGAATGCCTGTTGTCGTCTTCTCTCTATCTTCTCTTGTTCCGCTGTTCTCTCAACGGCAGTTCGAGTCGAGAGTCCCTAGAACACAAAAAAAAGCTAAACCGATTTTTCCTCAGGGAAAAGGACCTACAGACTAAGTGTTCAGCTGTTCAAGGAGAACCACTGTTGCGCCCTTGCTTAAAAATTACATCAAGCAACTAGCACAGATCATGGTGGGCCTCGAACCTTTTAATTGAGAGGCAGAGACGTAACCAGTTTACTACCGCTCCCATTAATCATTTTCTAAATTTAGTATAAGAAGCTTAAACATTGATGCGATCGAAACTAAAAGCCTATTTTGCAATGTCAGCACAGCTGGAGAAAATATTATTTCTACAATTTCATGTGACACAAACAGATACTCAGTTCTCAGTTATTAGCTCTTCTTCCCCCTCTCCCGGAGACATACATATCAATTTTACGGTCTAACCAGTGGCTTCATACGTTTACATTTGAACAAGGATAGTCCTTGTTCATATTTTCTGATATTTTTTGTTTACTTTTTAGTAAGTAAGGGACAAATTTTGGTTAATCAGCTATCAGAACCAGCAAATATTAGATAAAATACTAAACAAAATCTTTATAGTTCAGTCTGAAATTCCTAGTTCTGAAAAATAATCATTAGTCTGAAAAAATTCTCGACACTATGACCTTTTTTTGGATTCCGAATCGCGACTAATTAGGCTTTAATTTGATACAGCATTTAAATCTCGCTTTGTCGTGGTTGGAACTGTGAAAAAACATAACTAGCAAACAATTCTTTCCAACCTCGTGATTGGTCGGGAACAGCAACAAATATATTCGAAGGGAGGTAATATGCATTTCTCGAAAATTTCATGTCAATTGGACAACGCGACTGAACGTTTTACCTATAATAATAGTTTAAAAATCTTTCTGAGCGATATCTAGTTACAGAGTTATTTTTATAAAAGTTACAAATACAAATGGAAACGGAATGGGAGAACACCATTAAGCTAGCATGGCCGTTTTCAGGTGGCTCATTAATCGAAGAAAAAAAATTAATTATCTTCTTAGATCCAATGGACCGTTATGTTGGCAAACACTTATTAAACGTAAACCTCTTTATTCCCTCCTTTCAGCCCTTTTCTTTAAAAAAAACAAATACTTTTTGTTTTCTCGTGTACTGATTTCTACCCATAACCTAGAAACCAACAGAAAAAAATTCTACATAATCAGCAAAAAAAACTCTCAAAGATTTCCAATAACATCGTATTTCTTAGAATGTAACTATCCAAAAATTGATACAACTATTCAATTGAATCAGAGAAGCCACTTTCAAAAACTGACCCAGGCGGTAAAAAATAACAACAATAAAAGACATTTTTCGAACTTTAGGTCTAATCGACCTTCTGTTGAGTTTAAATCTATTATAAGCTAACTTTTGATTTGGTTTTCTCTTTAATAAAGTCGTGGTTAACTCTTGTTCAGTTATGACATATCTCAACGGAATAACTTGCCACTCTTGTCCAACAGTTTTTGCGTGCGAAGTTATTTCAAAACTTCGCACGCAAAAAAAACTTTCATGGGGCATATGTCTTATTTTCATGCAATTGATTCAGTGATTGAATCCATCCTGTGCTTATGAAAAAATATATATTTTTTAGTCTTCTGATTTCCAATTCTAGTTCTAATAGTTTGGTTTTGTCGGTGTTTACATAAACTAAAACTCCAAATTGGAGGATTGGTTGCACTTAACTTCTCCAAGCAATTATTAATTCATATCCTCTCAAAAACTTTCTCAATTGAAAAAACACTCCAACGAACTGCAAAACTTCATTTTTGACCTAATCAATATGCTGATGAAACTTCAATTTCCTTTCGGTATGAATTCCAAGATAGATAAAACATTCTACATCTATTTGGGTGTTACTGAAAAAAAAATTGATAGGTTTTTCAGTAGTTTGGGTCCGAGAAAGGCCCATGGTTTTGGTGTTTTTAAAATTAGTAACATTTAGTTATTTTGTTATTTCAATAGTTATTTCAATTAGTTATATTGCTATCGCAAAACTGATTGATGTGTGATAGCAATATAGTCTTTTCTGTTTCTGGACTTCATAACGGTGTCATATGCATACAAAAATACCCCTGTGTTATCCGTGACTATTTTAGGATCGTTTATGCATGATATGAACAAAAGTGCGCGAGAGGTACTCCAAAAGAATCGCAAAAGATAATAGTTTAAGTTCGCTATTAAAAAGTTTGTCTCGATGCACTGAAAACGAGTGTCAAGATAAGATTCCAAGTTTTAGCGCAGGCCCTCTGAATCCCATAAGTTCCTATTTTATTCTCAAGTTAGAGTGATCAAAAGCTTTAGTGAACATATTCCGAACAGTTCGATTTTTGTTCGTTAGCGACATTGAAATCTCTTCTAACGGTGTAAGGATGGCGTCAGCACTCTTCCTTTTTGATCTGGAACCAAACTGAGTGTTTCGTATTATATTAAATTTGTCTACATATGATTGGGCTCGTCTGAAAATTAATCGCTCTAAAATTTTTTCCAGAACTGGTAGAAGCGAAATTGGTCTATAGTCTGAAGGGTCAACGATTTTTCCTTCCTTGAAAACTGTTAAAAAATATTGTATCTTTTAAACAGTTTGGGTAGATTCCTGGGGCTAGGCAGTCATTAAAAATTTTTGTTAGAGTACCTGCTAATATACTTTTTTAATTGTCTGACGAAAACACTATTGAAATCATAGCAATCTGTACTATATTTATTTTTTAGACTTACCATGACTTGAATTAAATCATTTTTTTGTCAAAATACAATGATTGCTGACAGATTGAGTCCTCAGACAGATTAAGTGACTTGCTCGGAAATTCTCCCTGTACCTCTCTTTTCATTTAAAGTTTTCGTTCTAGAATTAGACTCCAGAGTTAACTTATTTCGATATTAATTTCGTTTTTTTTTACAAGTAATTAGGTTTTTGACAACTTTCTTTTGGGAACTATATCTGTTCCGGGCATCCGTTGTTTCAACATTCAAAATTCTCGTCGTTACCTTTTCTTGTTTGTTGCTGCATTTTTTTTACTTCATTGTCAATCCATGGATGCCTTTGTTTGTTTGTTTTAGTAATCCTTTTAGAAAAAAATTATCAACTGCCTTCATAAGGATCAAATTTAATTTTTCTAATATCCGAGAAGACAAAACACAGCTTCGCCTCACCTAAAAAATTATAGAAATCTTAAACTGGACTTCAATAAAGATATATAGACACATCGCAAAAACAACCGCAGAAAAAATATCGAAGAAGTTCAGATGAACAAACTTGAGCAGCAGTTATATACTTCATAACGCTTGCTAATCGCAAGCATAATCAAAAAATTTAGTAAAAAATTATTTAGGAACAAAACTCTCATTTTGAGGCATCACTAAAACACATGAATTGAAAGTTGGGAGAACGAAGACCCTCATATTACCCTTGTTAGGCTTTATAAACGAAAAAAAAACTGAATAAAATCAGCAAAATTGACACAATAACAGTAAGCACTTGTGATAATGTTATAGAAATCCAAGAATATCTCATTTCATAGAAATCAAAGAAAAGTCATTTCATAGAAATCCACGAAAATTAAAACATAGGCGCTACGCGCAATACACCGAAGGCATAGAAACTGAAGCAAAAACCAAACAACTTGAACAACTAATAATTGAACAATAACAGTTCTAGAACAAAAAATCGTACTAATACATGTATACACCAAAATTTTGCTATATCGAGAAAGAGCCTGAAATAACAGTTCTAGAACTAAAAATCGTACTAACACATGTATAGGTTAAATTTTTGATATATCAACGAAGATCATAAAATAACACTTCTAGAACTAAAAATCGTACTAACACATGTATACACCAAAATTTTACTATATTGACAAAGGGCCTGAAATAACAGTTCGTGAGCTAAAAATCGTACGAACACATGTATACACCAAAATTTTGCTATATTGGCAAAGATCATGAAATAACAGTTCGAGAGCTAAAAATCGTACTAACACATGTATACGTCAAATTTTTGCTATATTGACAACTGTATTGAAATAAATACACATACATAAACAATAAAAGCAAAACTAAATGAAAGAAAGAATAATTAAATAAATATAGAAATAAATATCAACAAATAAACAAAACACACCTGACAAATAAATAAGCAATAAAAAAATAAATCAATACATAAATAAATAAATAAATACATAAATAAATACATAAATAAATAAATAAATAAATAAATAAATAAAAGCAAAAGTGAAATGTACAAATAATTAAATAGACATGAAAAAATATATATGAACAAATAACCAAACAAACAGACCCATAATATCAATAAATGAAAATAAATAAATTAAATAAATACACACGCAGAAATAATAAAAGCAAAACTAAATGAAAGAAAGAATAATTAAATAAATAAACAAAACACGTGATAAAAATAAACAAAAATAAATATGTACATACATAAATTATAAATAAATATAAGCAAACTAAACATAATTAAATAAATAGAAGAACAGATAATTAAATAAATAAAGATGAACAAATAAAGAAACAAACATACGCAATCACGTGACATAGCGCGATATAGTCCAGCCCACATGATAATTGATAACTGTGGACGTTATTTGTCGACACTTGACAACAGACAACATTAAAAAAAAACCCGTTACACGATACCATAACACCTTGACTAAAGTCTTCGGTGTAAAAACGATTATAACAACAGAAGATCAAGAGACGTTTTTTGGCAACTCAAGTATCCTTTTTGTCAACTTCGATATTTAAAATTGGCATTTTAGCCAACAGCGACAGGTGCCCGTTAAACAAAATTTTTAAGCATATCCAACTGACAGTTGGAAGAGTAATGAACGCAATGAAACTGAAAAAAAAGGAGACTTAATTTTTCAAAAACCTTCATTTTTTGAACTTCGAAGAAAGAATAGGTGGCCTCAAAGCTCTTTCGAATTGTAGAAAAATTTATGATGGACACTTTGGAGAAAACTGGATCAATAGGTAAAACTTTTATTTCGCTGGGAAATCTGATAATGAATTTCCATTTTCGAAATTAAAAGTCGATCACGTTTTTTGCGACCTTTACAATTTTACTGTTCGATAGTGGAGTTTGTCTTCCTTTCAACAATAGAGATGCACTGAATTTAAAAATAAATCACAAGTCAAACCGCAAAAAATCAAAATTTTAAGACGTTTAGCTTGAACAAAAAAAAATCAGCAAGACCTATATAAGTCTTCACTACGTTCATTACACTTAATAAAATTGTAAATCGGAAAAAAAATCATTTCCCGATCATAAAACAATTTTAAAAACAATTTAAGATGAACATTTTGCAATACAATTGAGAAAACTGGGTCAGTAGGACACAATTTCTTTTCCGCTGGAAATTCTTAAGACATAATATCCTTTTTTGGAAGCTAGAAGTCGTTCATGTTTTTTCTCGCTATTTCAAATTTATTAATAGGATAGTTAAGTAAGAGAACAGAAATTGCCTACCTAATAACAAATGAATTTAAATTGAAATCTGAAAATTGAAGTCGTTTTCAAAGCTAGAAGTCGATCACAATTTCCGTGACATTCACACTTTTGGTGTTCGATAGTGGAGTTTGCCTCCCTTCATGCAAAGAAAAAGAAGCAAACATAAAAAGAAATCATATGTTAAACAGCAAAAAAAAAAATTGAGCGAGAACAAATTTTAAAATTTTCTTAGATTTTTTCTTGAATAAAAAACGCCAAGACCTGAGAACTCACAATGTTCATTACTCTAAAAAAAAAACTGGCGGCGAGTAGAATATCTTTTTAGTTAGAGCAAGGTGTCCATATACTGAAAACTGTAAAATAAAAATCCTCTTTTTCAGTTAGAGCTCAAGGTGTCCATATATTGACACTGAAGCGAAGCTTCGTTTCGCAAACACTTGCGAGAATACGACAAAAAGCAGCTCTATAAAAAACAATGACAAAAATAAGAATTAGAAAAAAAAATGTGCCAACCTATGAGATTCGAACCTGCGACCTAGAGATTAAGGGACTCACATACTAATCACTCAGCCACGGAAGCTTAATACGTACCAAACAGTAGCCACAACTTAAGCAGAGAACAGATACTATGCAATTTCCAATGTTAACATTGAAACTTCCAAATAAGTGGAAACTTTTATTTGTGAGTTGGTTTAGAAAAAAAAGAAGGTTCGTAATAACACACTAAGCTGATCGCAAGCGTAACAAGTGTATAATAAATGTCCCTAACTAGTTCATAAAGTGTATAACTGATTCAAAACTTTGCAAACAAAATTCTCTAAATGGAGAAAACTGACAGGCCTTACCATACCACACGCTCGCTTGTTTAATAATAACCTAAAAAGACAATGCAATACCTGTGCGAGCAGCTCCTTCTTGCGTCCACTACTCTGTATGTCTAGGAGAGCATCATGGGCGACTCGGATGTTGCCATGTCTGAATGCACACAGTCCCAACTGCACCAGAGTCCTGTTGTACAGCAACTGAGTCTCCACATCTGCAAACTGGATCGACTCCTGCAGGTGACTCATCAGCATCAAGTCACGTGCCTACAAGGAAATCGCGAGCATCAGAAGGAATTCGAAATAACTGCATGCAGAATTGAACACTTAATTGAATAACTTGGCGAAAATTTAATTCGAAAAATTTTGCAGGCCCCAACCTCCAAATTTTTCTAATTAATTTTTGTTCATACACACGATTGCTATTTAAAGTGGCATCCAGACCAAGTAAGCGATTCCAACCGTTATTTTTCTCACACTTAAGCCAGTAAAACCAATCGCAAAATTGAAGTTTATGTGATGTGTGAGAAAAAAAGATCCAATAGCTTTAGTTTTCTCGAAGCTAAATGATGGAGTATTTTGTCCTCCTACCTGAAACCACCTGTCGTGTAGAGCCAGATGGAATATCTGGCACAATACAGCCCTCGTTCGGATCCAGTTCGTCTTATCATTCGTGTAGATGAACTTACACAGTCTGTCCACCACTAATCCCGACTCCTCCTCGCCCTCTTTCGGCTGCTGCTTCTGGATCGGTTCATCCTCGGCGGAACCCCACTGGTCACTGCTGCTACCGGCACTCACGTTCACACTTGTCGGATCAAACTATAAACAAAAACAACAACACTTCTTAAAGCTCTTTGAATTCGGTGTCGGGACTACTTGCCCCAAGTCAATTGGCCTGGCCCTATGCCAACTTGTCCTATACTAACTTGCCCTATATGGCAACTTGTCCTATGCGAACTTGCCCCACATGACATTTTGTCCTAGACCGTTTTGTCCCATACTTAACACTTTCACTTGATTCTTTGATGTTCAAATTGAGGACCAGCAAGTGCTGATGTACACTGGACTCGTTTTGAGATAACAAATGACTCTAATCGAAAATATTTGAAGCTGAGCCTAAAAACCATATTTTTTGATAATTACACGCCAAAAATTGACAATAATCCACAATTAGCGCCTTCCACGGCTATTCTTTCATTGTTCACCATTTTGTTCCTAAACAACCAACATAAATACTATGAGCCAACTTACGCCTTGATTTTACCCACCATGCCTTTATGCTCTTCTGCCAAACAAAACTGAAAACGTATTCAAAATTCCTGAAAGCCATTGCCTCTGTCTCTGATAACGCGCAACCATCCAGCATCCTTCAAAATTTTGAACGAGCTGCCGTAAACGCTTTTACAAGTGCGTTTCCAGAGTCTTCAATCAAAGGCTGTTACTTTCACCTCTGCCAGGCCTTTTTACGCAAAGTCAACGAGCTCGGTTTTAAAAAGCCTATGAAAACAACTGCGAGCTAAGCTTGGCACTGTGGTTAAAAACCGCTCTCAATTTAGTTCCAACTGATTTAATGGAACAATCGTTCGAGAGCGTCATTGACGAGATTGAGCATGTGGTGGACCGATTAGATCTTGAGCAAAGCCTGTCAGATAAAATTGACGAACTTGCCTCATACTTTCAGAGAAGTTATATAAAAGGCGAAACAATAGGGCAAAATAGCAGCCAACGGTTATTCCCTATGAGTCTCTGGAACCATTCCCAAGAAGCAGCGGAAGGCTTGATACGAACGACAAACGCCGTTGAAGGTTGGCATCTTGGAGTGACAGCGTTATTTCAAGGGAGCCACCCAAGCCTGTACACTTTCCTGAATAAGATCCAAATTGATTCAACAAATCAGAAATTCAACATTCTGAAGGCTAAGGGGTAACGCAGAATCAAGGGCGGAAGAAAATATCGGGATATTCATGCAAAATCCAAAATATTTCTAGAAATTTCAACAAAGACCATGTTGTTGACAATTTTTATGCACTAGCTCATTTAACGCTTTCGTAATTTTTAAATTGTCGGCATATTTTCTACTTAATTGTCGGCATTTTGTTGCATTTTTAATTGAGTTTTAAAAAATCGCCACTTTTTTTTTTAACTTATAGCCATCGTACAGGGTCGAAATTTTGAGAGGTGATAAAGGCCAATACTGCAATATTTTTGCTTTTCCCTCACCCCGCCCCCTATTTTGGGCTATCCAAAATAGTGGGGTTTTAGGGGCGAGGCAGTACCTGCGGTTTTCCATTTCATCGATTTCATAAAAAAATTTTTTGACTTCTTGTTTTGACTTTGAAATAAAAGTTTTGAATTCTTGACTTTTTGATTAAGAGTGTTGTGCACTATTAACTATGCTATAGGAGCTTACAAGATCTGCAATCAATCTTTTGAAATATTTAACTCAACATGGGAATTGCATTGAAATTTTGCCGCTTTCATTTTGTCCATGCATGCTTTGAACTCAAATTGATTCAGCACATGTTTAATGATTCCGCATTTTGTTTCAAGCTTAATTGTTCAACAAAAACATCTTTCATTTTTAGGCCGACATTATGTTCTACGAGGTTATCAAAGAATCTGGGGCAAGTTTCATTTTTTATTATCTGGGACAAGATGGCATTGGACAAGTTGTCATCTGGGGCAAGTTGGAATCGGACAAGTTGGGCTGGGACAAGTTGACTTGCGGCAGAATTACATGAAAGTTTGAATTTGTAGAACAATTTATGATGGACTCTTTTTTGTTAAAATTAACCCAATTCGCAAAAACTGGATCAATAGGTGAACCATTTATTTCGCTGGGAAATCTGATAATTAGTTTCCATTTTCGAAATTAGAAGTCGATCACGTGTTTCGTCACCTTTACAATTTTGCTGTTCGATAGTGTAGTTTGCCTTCCTTTTAACAATGGAAATGCACTGGACTGATAGAAAAAGTCTTAAGTCAAACCGCGAAAAATCAAAATTGACAAATAAACAAATTTTAATACTTTTTCCTGAAAAAAAAAACAAAAAGTCAGCAAGACCTATATAAGAGTACTCACTACGTTCAGTACTCTTCATCAAGTTGCATACCAAATAAAATTGTAATTGCATGGGTATTTAGAAGTGCAACTGGACTGAACCATTTTAACAACTTTTGAATACAAGCAAGCAATGTTTGCAAATTAATATCGTAATCGAAATTATTTATCACTGAGGTAACTTACAAGAATCAGTAGCAGCAAAAATTCTCGGTTTTTTCTTTTGCCCGAATATCTTTGGTTCCAGATTCTCAGTGTTTCAAATGTTTTTGCAAACTACTAATAGACAGCGCAAAGATCGGCAATTGTTCTCGATGGACAAATTGTTCACATAAACCAACACAATTACGGCACCAACATAATAAAGATGGGCATGCAGTAAAAGGTCTTGTAAAGCATCATTGAAATCATTCAGCGATGAAACCGTGCCTCGAAAGAGCAAAAATGGGCACAAAATTGTTCCATAAAAGCTGGAAGCCTTAAAAAGTAAAATTATGTAAAATGTGCTAGAGCTGAATTGGAAAACAATTAAGCAAAATAAGATGACAAAAAACTCAGGCGATGGTTGAAATAGTGTACCAAAAGAAAGGGTTTCGCTCATCCGACGATCCACAAATATATTCAGTTCACGCGAGAAGACTAAAGCCTGACTGACTCTTATTCGAATAGTCCATAACCCAGCTGGAGAGTGCAAAAAAATAGCCTAAAAAGAGATAAATCGCTCTCGATTGACTGAACTTTAGTATTATACCCAAAACAATATCATTTTAACGCAACTTGTGGAACTATCCCATAGTTTTGATCACTAATTCAGGCGTTTGTAGTTATTTTTCGTTCATGGCTCGAAGTCAAATTGTTTCTGATCACAAGCTTGCCAGTACTGGTTAATGCTGGAAGCAAAAAAAATCGCGTCTACGAAGCGTCTTGTTTTTAAACACTACCATTTATCGGAAACTGGAGCAAAAAATTGCATATTATGCAGTTTACAGAAAAACTTCAAAATTTACTGATACTAGAACGAAACAATATCATATTATGCAGCTTACAGGAAAATTTCAATACTTGAAGAACAAAACGATTTTGACTTAGAAAAACTTATGTTTACTACTCATAGCTATGTTACCCAGTTATTGACAAAATTCTTGTTCCGCTTGTTATCTAAAATTTATCTAATTCCATTCCGAAAAAAAGGAGCCGGGCAAAAAAATAACATACAAGATCCTCTGTACTTTAAGTAATACAAATTTGGCTACAAATGTTAGAAGATGTGTTTCTCCTGCTCACACAAGTTGAGACTCTCAAATAAGTTGAAGATCGACATGAAAGGGTTAACTAAAATGTAAAACCGTTAGTCGCTCGATAGTTAACAAGATTTACCTTGTAGTAGAGGAGTTCCAGTCTGGCTAGGTAGCACTTGCACAGCTGTTCCGGCTCAGCCCCGCTCTGTTCCAGGTATGTCTGGCAACGCACCACCAGTTGATACACTCGCGGCTCATATCGCAGTCTAACAAAATCAAGGCAGCACATCAGAAGCGCAACATAAGTTATACAAACAGGCCGAATAAGGAAAGGACTAAGATAAACACGTTCAGAAACTCCTAACGATATTCATTTTTCGCTGCTCTTAAATTTCATTTAGACTTTCCGTGTGGATTAATCAATTCTATGCATCCTTTCGGAACGACAAAGATAACTTGGAGATAGCAATGAAGGATAAACCATCCTGAAAATAAGTAGTCTCAAGAGTCTTTTTGGGTTCCGTTCTGTTAAACTTGATTTTAAAACACCTTTTACGCTCTAAAGTATTCAAAAACTGCCCAAAACAACTATTTTATTACAACTCGACGCATTCATTTTTCATCCGTATAGATGAATAGCACAAACTTCCAAAAGGACAGGAGATATCTGACCGATAGGATCTACTTACTTGTCAACATAGTCAGTCGAATGACAGTCCGAGTCTTGCAAGATCTTGGTGAACTCCGTGCTCAGTCGATTGATCATGGTCAACACACATCCGTTCACTTTGTACAGGAACTCGCGTTCACCCTTCGGTTTCTCCTTTTCTTTGGGCTCTTCATCCGACTTTTCTTTACTTTCACTCTCTCCTTCTTTTGAATCTGCAGCTCCAGCACTGTTTTTAAAAAAAAACATAACCGATACTATATCTTAAAAAATGAGCATAAAATCGAACAGCCAAAATTTTTAGGTAGTTTTTTTAAAAATATTCCAAAAAATTTGTTTACAAGTATCAATGAAAAACGGTCAAATAAACAAACAACACTGCAAATAGAACAATTCCAACAGATTGTTGAAACATAGCCAACAGACAGATGGAAAAGAATCAATAAACGCGATTAAACAGATAAAATATTGAATTATTTAAAATATATATATAGGTAAAAAAACCTAGTGTGAAGAAACTGAAATTCCAAGAAATTCTTGTCCAAAATGGACATTGAAAAGAGACATTTTAGAGAAAAAACTTGAACTTACGCGTAATTTTGTCCACTAGTGTAAAAGTCGATTACATTTTTCATGACCTTTACACTTTCTTTGTTCGATAGAGGAGTTTAGTGGAGCGACCTTATAAAAGTCCGAACTAAGTTCATTGACTCATTATAACTGTCAATGAACTAAATATAGTGTTAAAAAATATGGCACTGAAGCTCTTTGAATTTGCAGAACAATCTGTAACAACTTTGAGACAAAATATTAAGCAAATTTCATATAACTGGATCAATAAGTAAACGTAAAAATTACACAGAGGCGGAGCTGCGCTTCGCAAACACTTGCGAGAACACGACCAAAAAGCAGCTCTATCAAGTGAAATAAGAAAAAGTCGAAATAAGCCTCGAATTAGCAAAAACTCGGCTGCGTGTAGGATTCGTATCTGCGACCTACTGCAATCAAGAGATTTTGAGTCTCACGCACTATCCCCTCAGCCACTCAGGCTTAACAACCGAAACATACTAGTCACGAATAAAGCAGCTACATATGCTAACAAATTGCCAATGCGACTCAGCACCAAATACAAATAGACTCAATTTTGCAATTAAAAATTTGGAATAAAACAAACTTTGCAAAGCATAAAGCCCCATTATGTATAAATTATGCATTTCAAAATATTGCGAGATATAATGAGTTTAAAAATTTCTGAAATAGAGTTTTCATTATTGCGATGTTGTTTGAAACAAATAGCTTTTATCGGTTCATTCGATGAATTCAAAATGCATCAACTGTGTTAAATTATTACTATTCGAATGTCAAAGCACATGCTATCAAAAAGCTGTAAAGTTGCCCCACCATTATTGGGGTGAGGCATCATAAAAGTGCCGCACCAATATTTGCGATTTATGTTGGAAAAAAAAGAAGGTTCGTACTAATACACTAGTTTCGCATGTGTAAAAACCCACTTTCAAAACTAGTTTTTTTGTTCGTGCGATTGGAGAGCGTAATTTGCCATCTTTTTAGCACATGAACTTGAAATTAATTTGAAAAAAAAAATCATAAGTCAAACCTAAAAAAGTCATCACGACCTTTTTAAGTTTCTTCGCCACATTCATTCACAATTAATTAATGTGGATAAAATCAAACCTCTCCAAACACTTCAAAGATTTTGTGAAAGTTCTAGTCATCATGCTGACGAATACAAAGAAATAGATAGTCATCATGCTGACGAAATATCGAATAACTTTGTGGATCACTTTGCTTTGAAAATGACTCGCAACAACCAGTTTTAAAATTACCCGTTCTCCTGGTTCTCTGCTTTCTCCTTGACTTGAGCTGATGACGCTGTTGTTGTCGTCTCCTTGTCTTTTTCTTTCTTCAGTTGTTCTTCTTCCTCTGTGAAAGTGGGGTCCACTTTCAGACACGAGATGTTATCACACACCAGAGCACACAACTTCTCCAGGTGTTCCAATGCACTAAAACCAAACAAACGAATAAACATCTTTCACATAATAGAAGATGATGAAGAAGAAGATTTCATCCAAGAGTAAATATGACAGAAAAATATGACTACATGCCAGTCCGAAAGATTATCTGACTCTTACGAATAAATAAATCATTAAATGAATTACGATGAAAAAATAGTCGGCTGATAACTCAGAAAATTTTTGTGCAATTTTTAAAGAACTCAATTACCAAAAACAGAGGATTCAGATAACACAAACTCATTCGTTTCTTTTTGATAACTATAAGATGGAAAGCATACAAAAAAGTGAGGCTTCGGTCCAAAAATCATGATATAAAAATTCCAAATTCAGCAAGAAACGTCTCTGAAAATTTAAGAACCAAACAAACTACATGTCCGCCAAGAACATCAGGCTGCTTCAAAAAGCACTTTCGATTGCTTGCTATAAATAAAGATCAAAAAGAACAAAAAAAATTAACAATGAAATTCAACTATAGAAACATATGGCTAACCGCTTTTGGAGTTTTTAGAACTATTTTTTGTCGACACTTTTTTGATGAAATTAACCCAATTTGAGAAAACATGATCAATAGGTAAAATTTTTACTTGGTTGAGTAATCTGATAATTAAAATTCATTTTCGAAATATAAATTGATCACGTTTCTGGTGATTTTTACATTTTTTCTTTTCGATGACGGATTTTGCCTTCCTTTTAAGTTTGAATTTGAAAGAAAAACACAAATGGTCTCAAAACTCATTGAATTTCAATGGGGTATTTTTTTATTCCGCAGGTAAATCTGAAAATCAAATTCCACTTCCGAAATTAGAAATCGATCAAGTTTTTTCGCGCCATTTCCGCTTACAATTTTAGAGAGCGCAGTTTGCCTACCTTTCAGCAAATGAACTTAAATTGGATCCAAAAAGTGCACATATGCTTCAGTGCATTCATAAATGCATTAATATGTATGGATGTACAAATCACCAAGACCTATTTAATAAAGAAACGCTCGAAAAAGAAACTAAGAGGCGAAGAAAACATATTTCAAGTAAGCTCCAGTTATATGGATTTCAGCGACACATAGCCAACAAACATTTGAAAAGGGTCAATGAACGCAAGGAAACGGAAAACAATGCTGACTTGTTTTTTGAAGAAATTTTAAATAAAAACTATGCCCTTGAAACTCTTCGAATTTCAAAAACATTTTACAACTAACAATTTTTTGATACAATTGACCCAATTTGAAAAAACTGGATCAATAATTTTTACTCCGCTGGGAATTCAGAAAATTATAGTCTTTTAAAACTAAAATTTATTCAAGTTTAACGAGACCATTACACTTTTACTGTTCGGGAGTTTGGAACTGAACTACACTAAAACAGAAATCAACATTTAGGTTGCGAAAAACGAATTTTAGCGTGTACAAATTTCAGGACTTTTTCCCAAAAAAAAAAGAAAAGTGAATCATCAGAACAATAAAAGTGTATTCACTTCGAGCATTGACACTTCAAAATATCTAATCAAAAAGAGTCCATTGAATTGCTTTCGTTGTGATGATTCAATCAAATTTTATGATTCAATCAGATTTTCGTAGTTTTGTGAAACGATTTATATAGAGCCCGCCACCTGATAAAGAGAGGGTGTTCTAGGTCAGTTTGCAACTTTTGCCTACCTGACATGCATTTTAGCATCAAAAAAATTCGGATCCAATAACCATTTAAAAACCAACAACTGCAACAGCCAGCTTTAATTAATGTGGCTACAGCCAAAACTTGAACTTTTGCTGTGAAAAGTTAGCCCAGGATAATACACAAAAATTTTATAAGTACCAAATGAAAGCGGCACTAATTGCGTATCTAAAAGCGGCACTAAGAACACATCTCCTTCTAAATCGATTGTTGAGTAATGGTGAGAAAAAACTAACTGGATGTGACAAAAATACTTATGTTTTAGTAAACCAATTGATAATTATTGAGTAACAAGGATGCTAACAGGAGCCAGTGTTTGAGCTTCATCGAGTCGAAGATATTTGAGTTGAGGTCAAAAGTAGCCGAAATGAGACTGATGTAGACTTTGCACTGGACGCCCACTCCCAAGGCTGCTTGGTTCAGCTCACTTACAGTCAGCAACTCTCCCAGCAACTCAATCTGCTCATACTTGTCTGTTCCTTTTTTGCCTCTGTTCGAAATCACTTCTCGGAACTTCTTCACGAGCATGTCAAGAGACACTTCGCTGTCTTTCGGGAACAGACGAGCTCTCTCCTAGAAGCAACTGGTCATTTCAAAATTCAGTTTTTGAATTCGGAATTACAAAATAATATTAAAAAGACAGATTACAACCAGTTGACAAGAAAATCACTGCCAATAACTAGCTCAGGCGCGGATCTAGGAATTTCTCGAAGGGGGACGATTTTTCAAAAAAAAAAAAATTGAAAATTTTGTCGACTGTTTTTTAGGTCGACTAAATCGATTTTATGAGCTCTCCCAAACCACTATAAAGACCCTAATTTGACCAAATTTTCTGCGCCGCAGGCATGTTTTTTAAAAAGGCCAAAAAGCCGTTTTAGGCACTTTTTGGAAAACTTCGACCAAAAAAGCGCGTTTTTTCGGGGCGCGCGCTCCCCCCTTAAATTTAGTATAGGTTGGCGCCAAAGTCGCCTTTAGAAAAATTATAAAGTCAGTCAGCCAAAAATGGATATCTCAAAATAGTACAAAGGGGGACCCTGTGGGTCGGCAGGGGGTCGAATTTGTGCGCGGGGGAGGGGGGAAGGCCCCCCCCCCCTAAATCCGCTACTGAACTAGCTTAACATCAATGACAACTGTCTTAGGTGTATGAAAACTTGCTCATTTCATCACACTGACTAGTGTTGATGTTAATTCTATTCATAGTTCATGTCTAAATAGTTCAATTTTACACGGTTCAATTTAATGCGAGATACGACGGGAAGAAGGCGTATAAAAACTTGTTGAATAGACATAGCATTTATGCAGTTCCTTCCTTTTTTAAACTTACCATAAAAGTTTGACAATTAAAATAGAATCAATGATAACTTTTCAACGACAAGTTTTCAATAAACAAATCATACTATTGGATCAAAAAATATCATGAAAAAGTCCAGCTTTGCACCACTTCCAATTCCAAACATAAAAAGAATTGAAAGCTAGCAGAAAGACTATGAAATGAAAACCACGGTCGAACAAATGAAAAAACGCCAAAATCACATCTACAAAATTTTCAAATTTTTGTCTTCAATGATGTTCAACTTAAGAACACATCCGGCAAAACAACCGTCGGCGTTAAATAAGTAATCGCAAACTTTTATTGGGCAGAAACTAAGCTGACAACACTGAGATAACCGCCCGTTGAGATGAAAACAAACGTGTTTTTTTTTTGCCTTGTTTTAAAACATGTTTTAAAACATTCCCAACCCTGTTAGCTAGGCCATAAAAATATTAAGGCTATCAAAAATTATCCATTAATTGGTTTTCGATGATAAGAAGATGAATACGAAAATCATTTAAAAAATGAAGCCACGTTCAAAAAAACCATAGCCAAAAAGCTTAAAATTTACCAAGAAACTTGCAAAAACTCTGGGAGCCAATTTAACTGAACGGAAAAGGAAAACTTGGGGTATCATTAATCTTCATCTTCCATAGCTCCCAAAGAAAAATTCTAAAACAAAAAGCAGAGCTGCACTTCGCAAACAAGCAAGAAAACGTAATGCTTAAAAAATTAGGCAAAAAACATTAATCATAGAAAAAAACTCTTATCTGTACAGGTATCACACCTCAGGTCTCGAGCAAAGAAGACACATGCACAACACAACTGTGCCATTGGCGCTCAAAGAACCAAATCAATAGCCACTGGAAAATCTGACGCATGCTATCAAACAGCTAATTAAATGCAGCAGAGGTACCACAAAAAAAACACTTACCTGCTAGCTGGGTTGGAAGAAATCAACTTTGAAATATAACACAATTCTAGCCAGCTTACTTGAGCAAAGAATGATGTTTTAAACACAGAGCCGAAGCAGAGCTTCACATCACTTGCGATGCAACACAAACATGAAAAAAGATAAGACGAAAAAAAAATTACACGTGGGAAAAACTGGGCGAAACAAAATTTTCCTAAGTCTCGATAAGAAAAAACAACTGGGAGTCCAGCTAAAGCTGAAGGTACGTGATTGATATTCAATTAATTTGTTATACTAATCGGAAAAAAATGTGATTTAAAAAGCTGGACTTTAGAGATATAGCTGGACTTCAAAAAATAAAGGAGTTACCGCTTCTGCAGCAACAATTATCGCAACCAATTCTTTCAATTGAAGTTTTCATCTCAGATTTGATTGTTTAAATGTTAAAAAAATTCGAACAAAAGCTCAAAAGACAAGCAGAGAAGATTCCCTGAACTGCGTTTCTCGATTGAACACAATCTGAGAATTGAGACGGTAGTTTTCACGTAAAGTCAAAAGATTACAAAAAAATGTCAAAATTTCACATCTTTGACTTGTTTGATGGCCATAATTTCTTTCTCAAACGAACTGGGCATAGCAAATTATAAAAGTAGGCTTTTAACAACCTGTTGTTTCGATTACAACCACGATATAAGATTTGGCTGGATACTTAGCGAGAAATGACCAAAAATTTTCAAAAATCAAAAATTTGACATTTCCGAGAATCATAAATTTTAGTGTGACATAAAAACGGCGTAGTTGCTTATATGAAGGGATTCACGCAAACGGTAATTTCGATTGAACCCAAAATCTCAGTTGTGCACGGTAATTCTCGAGAAAAAACAAAGTTTGAACAACAACGGTTAAAAAATCAAAACTTAGACTTTTCCTAGGTTGACTTTAGTATCAGAAAAAGTTGGGCCTGGTCGCCTAAACAAACGAGCTTCACGCAACTTATTCTTTCATTTGAACCCTAAGTCTCAGATATAGCAGGATAGTTCTCGAAAATATTCAAAAAATTTTGAAAACGTTCAAAAACTTGACTTTTCCAAAGGCGATAACTTTTTGTGTAAAAAAAGTTTGTGAAAGGCCGCTCGTTCAGGGGAGCTTCCCACCACCCATTATTTGCACTGAACAGACAATATCAGATTTAAAGAAGTTAGTTTTCGAGAAAAGTCGAAGATTCACAAAACGGTCAAAAATCAAAAATTTGACTATGCCGAGCCATAACTTGATGTGTAAAAAAAAATATGGGCTTAGTCGCTTATGCAGGGTGCTTTAGAACACCTTTCTACTCATTGAAACCAAAAACCCAGATTTGAGAGATGTAGTTTTTGAGAAAACGAAAAAATGGGTCAAATATTCCCCCACGAAGGCTGAAGATAGAGGGGTGAAGTTAAAAGCGACTCTAGGCGAGTATGCAGGCACTGATGGAAGTAGGTGGTCTCTCAATTGCTACCCCTTTTTGAAAATCAAATGAAGTTGCTGAGAAAAACTAAAATTGTTCCAATAAATTAGGAAAAAAATTTCCATAACGAAAAAAAAAATTTCAAGAAACCGATTGGTAAATATACAACCAAATTGAAAATGTCGAAGGGGAGTGTTAAAATTGAATTTCCCTTGAAACGACCCAAAACATGGTCATTATGTCGATAAAAAAAAGGCCGAGATAATTCTGGCCGAAGAACTTTTTAGCGAAAAAAAAACAAAGGAAATACAAGGTCAAGGTAAGAAAAACTATTAATTATAAGAAAAAAATCAAAAACTCGCAGCAAAAAGAAAAATAATTATAAGAAAAAAAGCACGCAGTAAAAAGAAATTTTTTTGAGATGTGACAAACTATGCCGACCACAGATAAACAGAAAAATCATTGGCCGACAACTCAATTTGAAACGCAATATTTCGTTTGAAAAAAAAAACAGGTTGTCAGATTCGAACCCAGGGCCTTTGCCACCCCAGGCATATTCGTTACCTCTAGGCTCACTTGGCCGGGAACGCATAGAATTTTGAACTTATTATGAACTAAGAAACAAGTGATTCAAAGAATTCTGTTAAATAAGTTGTTAACCCGAAAAAAAAATTAAATTCCGGTTTGATAACGCTTGCTAATCGCAAGCGTAAAAAAATGTAAATCAAAAAGTCAAAACAATTACATCAAAGAGCAGTTTGCACAAAAACTATGAAAATCAATGGAAACTTAGGAAATCTTCTCAACTTCAACCCTCTTGACATTTAGGAAGTTTTAACACATGGGTAAAAAAAATTGCAACCCACAGTAGAACAAAGCCAATAAAAAATGGAATAGTGTCAATCACAAGAAAATCAACCGAATCTTTTCAGACTGGAATTTTGTCCTAAAACTAACTAAATAAAAAAATTGATCGAATAGTGTTTTATTCAATCCGCTGGGAAATCTTTAACATCCGATTTCAAAATTTTTAATAATTGAAGTTTATTCGCGCCATTTGGTCTTTCGTAATTGATGTGCGTAACTTGCCTCGCTTTTAGCAAATGTGCCATTCTGCCAGAAAGGACATTCAAAACTTCCGGATACACAAGACAACGATGAAACGCCTTTGTATCGAAAAAGTAAAAAAACGTATAGAATCTTCTCGAATTGAAACTTTCAGAAGTTCGAATGGCGAACTAACATTTCTCAGAGGCTCCTTGTGATATATATTTCACATCAATTAACAAAGTAGTTTCAAAGTAATTCTTGACTAATTGAGAAAAAAGCCAAAATGACCCATTTTGGGGTAAATTTTTGGTTGAGAATTTCGGAGAAAAAAGTGAACCATAAGCAATTTGTTCTCCATTTTTCGTCTAATGTTAACCCAACTTCAGAAAAATGCGCTTGAAATTTCAACATTTGTTCGTACTGTCCGGTTGATTTAAATCAGCACTGTATTATTTATTTAAATTTAATTTGAAAAAAAAAACTCAAAAATCAAACCGCGAAAATCATGAGCATAATTAAATTTTGGAAAAATCACATGGCCCAAATGAGTGTCTTCATTTCGTTCTTTAGGACTAATAACGATTGCAAAGCAATTCAAAATGCTCAGGGTTATATTTATCTATATATTAAAAAACTTCCACGCTTCTTTTAGATTTAAATATATATAGATAACAATAACATTTGGAATTGTGCATTTGGAATTGCTTTGCAATCTTTATTAGTCCTAAAGAACGAAGTGAAGACACTCATTCGGGCCATGTGATTTTTCCAAAACTTAATTATGCTCATGATTTTCGCGGTTTGATTTTTGATAATTAAAACTTTCACGCTTCTTTTAGATTTAAATTTTAAATTTAAGATTTACTTGATGTTAACCGAACCTTTTGAAGACTATTCCCCTCTCCATACTTTTTTCTTCTTTTTGGTGACATGATAGCTTACACTGAAAACCTCATTGCTTTTCGAATGAACGCAATTTATAGAATATTCTAATCCAACCAACCATTTGGATTAGAAAACACCAACAACCCGTTAAAAAACAAAACTGAAAAAATTCCATCATCTTGAACCGACTAGCAAGGAAATTGCTCAAAATCTGCAAGGAGAAAACTGGATCAATTAGTAAATTTTTCAATCCACCCAGAAATCTAAAAACTGAAATCCTTTTTCAAATCTTAAATTCATTCACGTTTCTGGCGCCTGTTCCGCTTTTATAATTGGAGAGCGTTCTTGCCTTCCTTTTAGCAATAGAATTCGAATTTAACCTGAAAATATATAAGAAGATTGAAGACTTTTCCATGAAAAAAAAACTGCATGACCTACACAAGTGTCTTTACTACGTTCATGACATTCATTAAGTATAAAAAAACTTTAAAAAAAAAACAAAAACACCCTGGTAATTAAGCTGACAAAAATTGGGAAGCAATTCATACGCCCGAAAAAAATCTATTTAGTCGAGTTGAATAAATTCTTCCTCTTGACTTACTCGTTCGGTGGAAAAGGGGTCCCCTGAAGCCCCACCTTCTGCTTCTGCCATCTTCTGCAACTGTCTTCTCTCCCTCTCTTTCCTCCTCTGTTGCTTCCGCTGCTCCTTTTCCTTATTGCTCTCCTTCGTCTGCACTTTCTCACTCGTCTCCCTAGAAACAACAAAGACAATATATTTTTGAAATAATGGATTTGTTCCATTCAAATCCTAAAACAGAAACTTCCGAGACTTAGAAAGGACTGACAACAAAATCTTCAGATCCAACCAGGGTATATTTCTATGGATGGAATGATGTGTTTGAACTTTAACAAAGAATTCCAAAACATTCATATTTTCGAATGCTTTTTCGCTGGGTCGATTTTGGATGCGTTTTTATTCAGTGGCGAAGCAAAGCTCGCATTATTAGCGATCAAGAAATTATTCCCTCTGATTCAAAATTTAGTAAAATGAACCGAGGCCATACAGTAACTAAAGTATCCGAAACAACCTTATCAAAACGTATCATAAAAAACATCACTATCAAACAATTGAAAAAGTGTCAATCAACTCCATGTCAAGCAAAAAACGATTAATTCGTTTCACGCATATGTAAACTACAAACACTCAATTTTAAGAAATTTCATTGTTTACAATTTATTGATATAACTATCCAATTATGAAACAACTGGACCGATAGATATTTTTTCCGCGAAATACAAAAACATACGTCCTCTTTAAAATTCCATTTTCGAAACTACAAGACCATCACGTTTTTCGTGACCTTTAAACTTTTGTTGCTCAATTGTGGAGTTTGCCTTTCTTTCAACACAGGAAATGAAATGAACAAAAATAAATCAAAAGTCAAACCACAAAAAAACTACATTTGAGCCTGAACAAATTTTAGGCTTTTGCCTGAAAAAGAAAAAAAAATCATCGCAACCTATACTAGAGTCTGAGCTACGTTCATCCACTTTTAAAGACCATCAAACGTTTCACTGATCTTAACTTTTCAATCTGCAACTTCATGCACTAACAATTGCTATCAATTTCATTTGATAACTTTCATTCGACAAAATAGAAATTGCGTTATCTTAGTAACAAGAAAAACTTGGATGCCAATTATTTTACAATCATCGATCCATTCAGAGGCGGATTTAGGGGGTGGGGCGCACGCTCCTCTCCCCCTTTGTACTATTTAGAGATATCCATTTTTGTTGACGGACCCTAAAAACTTTCTACAGGCGCCTTAGGCGCCAATATATAGTAATTTTGAGGGGGAGCGCGCCGAAAAACGCTTTTTTTGGTCGAAATATTCCATAAAAAGCCTAAAAACGCCGTTTTACGCCTTTTTTCAAAATTTTCCAAAAAATGCCTGTTTTTTCAAAATTTCAGCCCCCTCCCCCCTCAAGAAAATCCTAGATCTGCCCCTGGGTCCATTCATCAATTTTAAAATATCCTCAGGAATTCAACTCAATTGATGGATTTAACATGCCTTTTTTGCGCTTCCGCTTTTTTCTTCAAGTCCGACACCATTCAATGAAGCTTGTAACTAGGCATCAATGGTTAAATTTGTCATATTTTCGGGGACTGATTGATTATTACATTAAGATCGAAGAAAATATGCAACAAAACGAAAAGATCCTAGACACTCTGAGCTTTGCAAATTACTTTTCATGCATCGATTCTGCATCAAAAAATCAAATTTAATTTAGAAACTTTGCAATATAACACTGCGCTACGCTTTAATTAATCTTAAAAAAACGAGATTAAAAGCACTAACTTTTTGATGAAGAAGTGAGCGATGTTTTTGAACACGATTTTCTCGCCTTCCTTTTTGATTTCGACTGAACTTACGGAGGAGGATACGCTACTCCCTCCCCAGCTACTCACACTCGACTAAAACAAACACATTTCACATTTGAAGGCACATTGGTTTTATTCAAAGTTACAAACAGTTCGAGCAGATAAATGAATAGCTTATTATCTATTTCAGAATTGTCCCGAAAAGCTAGTTATTCAACGTTTTCATGTCACTGGCTCGCCTGACAACTTAATATCACAGACAGCTTTTTAATTCTCTCTTCCAACTTTTTGCAATTTATTATTCAAAAAATTATCCATTCAGATAACTCGCTTTTTGGATGTATTGGAAATCTTGAAATTTAATTGCCATTGCCTCTAAATGGAAAAAATTACCTCGTCATCTTTGGCTCCGCGACCGCCACTTTTATCTTTCATGGCCAGAAATTCGTCTTTCGTGAAATTCCTGCTGTCCATATCGTCGTCACTATCGGGTTCCGGAATGTCTTGGTCATCGCCATCACCCATTCCCCCACCCTCTCCATCTGCGCCCTCAGCTGCCGAGTCCCATGGATTCTCACGGTAGTTTTTCACTTCATGTTCGAAATCTTTGTTGTATTTTCTGATTTTCTGGCGAAGTGTTCCTAGACATTTGCCGTTAGTTTTGCTCAGACGACCACGCAAATCTTTATCCTCCCAACTCTAAACAAAAATCTGTATTCAAAGACAGCAATATTTCAAGTAAGACTAACTAAAAGAAGCCATTTAGGCCAGTCAGAAACCTCATGTAAGAAATGAGCCTGTTCAGTTAATAAGCTTTTAATTTATTAGATTTTTATGCCCGGTACTTGTAATGACAATAACCCGTGTAGGTGAATGTCTGGAGAAATAAATTCCGCGTACAGCATGATAAAATTGAGCAAATTGTTCACCGGGAAACTAATGGCAAGAATTTTATAAACAGAAACGGTACAATGCATATTAATACACAGAGGCGAAGTTGCACTTCGCATACATAAGCAAAAATATGACCGATATCGCTACTGGGAAAACGTGAATGAGTAAAACTTTGAAACTACAAAATTTCTTAAGTGACGCACGCCAATTATGACGCATTAACAGTACCAGTCAATTTGAAAATAACCAATTAACAAGCCTCAATTTATAGAGCGGACGCATTTCAACTAGTACACGAAAAAGTTCATTAAAAACATAATTGCTAAGTGACGCAGGCAATTATGACGCATTAGCAGTACCAGTCAATTTTGAAACAAAAAAATTACCAACGAACATGCCTCAATTTATAGAGCGGACGCATTTGAACTAGTATACAAAAAAGATTATTAAAACTTCCGCCCCTTCCCAGCTTCGAACCCTCTTATTTTGTTGCAGATCTCCTTCTCTACCTCTACGCTACAGATTCATGATACCTTGAAGCTAAAGTGGATTTGTAATATCGTCTGTGTTACTATCCTTAGCATTGGCTGTAGTTAATAGCTGGTTATTCATCAAAATGAACACATTTTTGTCGCAACAGTATTTGCGACTTAGGCTGGAAACAAGAGAGTTCATACTATAGCACAAGCTTTGCCTGTGTAAATACTCAGATGCATATATGGCCTTAAAGCTCTCAAATTCAAGAAAATTATGATTGAAACTTCTTTGAAAAAATCAACCTAGTTTGAGAAAATTGGATCAATAAGAGAGTTTTATATTCCGCTGGGAAATCTGAACAATAAAAACTACTTTCAAAGCAAAAAATTGATCACGATTTTTGTTGACATGTACACTTTGGCTGTTCGATATTGAAGTTTGCTTCCCTTTTAACAAAGAAAACAAATGGAAGGTAAAAATCAAAACTGACGCCAAGAACGTCCTGTATAAGCTGACTTCTAATGCGATCAAACGCTCAAGTGATACTTTATGGCACAGCCAAATCATGGCAGGACGAAGTGAATTGTCACAGGGCGGAAGCCCGTAACTGTTTTATTATATTCTTCTTTCGCTCGAAAGCAGTGAACTTTTTTTCCTGCTCTTTCCATTCAATTGTGCACGCAATCGCAATCGTTTTTATTTTGGATGAAACTAAGACAAACAAACTTATAAGCATATGATGCGCGATTTAACTAATGAAACTGTAAATACAAGTTATACAGAATGTTATGACCATATTCATAAAACTACAAATAAAAGTTCTTCAAATTAATAAGTTTTTCAAATTAGGGTCGTTTTTTGTGCGTGGTGTAGTGAAAATATTATACAAATTCTCAAAAAGATAGTTAGTTAGGCATAATCGACAACAGTTGTCTTCAAAAAAAGTATAGCAAACCAAAAAATGCAAAAAATTCGAAATCTTTGCGAAAATTTGTTGTCAAGTTTTCGCTCGAAGTTTTGGTTTTGGAAGAGCCGAATACAGCTTTCGTTCGAAACAATTAGGAACACTAGCCTAAAAGACCAATTTAACAAGTTATTACATCTTTAATCTTTCACTGTATTTTCGCGAACCGGTTGTTCTCGACCCTTGGAAAAATTTTTGGGAAATTTTTTTATGTTCAAATCGCGACTGAAGGTGCTATGATATGACATATCACTCAACCCATTCCGATGATTTTTTGTATACCTGATTTTGCTTCACTCGAAAAAGAAACACACTTGAATACTAAGTTTCTCCCCATTTTTCAAATGGTCGGAAAAAACGGTCAGCAAAAAACTGACAAATTTAGCAAAAAAATGTTCAGCTAAAAAACTTTGACAAAATAATTTTTGATGAATTTTTCATTCTAAAAGCTACTTAGCGTTCAAACCGCTATAAATAGCAAAATTTAAAGCATGAAGTTGACTTGTAAAAAAAATCGGAAGCAAAAATTAAACCGAAAGCGCCGAGGTCAAAAAATACATTTAAATTAAAATTTATACCACGTATACTGCAGAAATAAAGTAACGCAGCATAACATTTTGTAAGACAATTTAAATTTTCCCTACGAAGCCTTTATGCATGAAATCTTTACAGTCTGTAAGTGAAAACTAACTTGACCATATTTGAAACTTTTTTATCACATGAGCTCGAAAAAATATAGTTTTCTGCTGAATATTTTCTGCTGAATGCGGAAATGGTGAGTTTTGGTGCACCATGACCAAAAAGTAATTTTTCAAAAATTAATGAAGTGTTTTTGATTTCATTCCAACTTACTGAACCAGAAAACGTTTTTAAATGGGATGAATAATTGCCTCAATCAAAGCTAAATTAAGAAGTACTTCAAAAAATTGAGAAAGATTTTGGTGTATGTAATTCAATTTTTCAGTTTGCTAGTTGCACTATTTTTTTCTCCAGTAAATATACGTGTAAAGATTATACCAGTGATATGTAGTCTTCAAGATCTGCAATACATTTGATGTAGAACTCCGGCACATCCTCGCCACTCCGTGCCAGCACTGCCTTGGACTTCTCAAAAACCTTAACTAAGTCTTCGAAGAGAGTCAGGATGCTGGAGAAGTCGTTGATTTTTTTCGAGTTTTTCATGCTGCGGATCAGATTGCGTAGCTCTTCATATCTACATACAACACAGTTTAGACTCATTATGGACACAAGCGAGAACATGAGAACATTATGGACACAAGCGAGCTCATTATAAACACTTGTGAGAACATGACAAAAAGCAGCTCTATAAAATGAAATAAGAAAAAGTAAAATAAGCCTCAAATTAGTAAAATTCGGCTTCGTCTCAGATTCGAACCTATGACCTACATTTTTTGAGTCTCACGCACAAACCAGTCAGCCACTAACGCTTAATTTGTGACAAACACTAGTTAAAAACGAAGCAGAGAACAGATGCTATGCAGTTTCCAATGTTACAGTGAAATTTCCATATAAGTGAACACTTTCAATGAGCACTTTTATTTGCGAGTAGGTCAATAAACCTTTTAAAGGTCTATGATATTACAATCACTTCCTGTCAAAATATAAAAATGAAACTGACCTCTTCTCCCTGGCACTGATGACAACTCGTTTTTCATCTTCGGCCTCATCTCCGAAAATATTTTTAACATTGAATTTGTTTTGTGTCGGCTTAGAAGCCGTTTTTCTGGTGACTTGCAATTGCTCTTCATGATTTGACACATCCGAATCTGACTCTGATGAACTGGAGTCAGCCTGGAAAAAACGTGACATTCTGATCTGAAAACACAGATATCAAGATTCGAGCTCATAAACAATCCTAAAAAATTAAGCTTCCCGAACTTTGGAAAACAGAATAATTTTAGGCAATTTTCGCGACGCCAAATTCTGATGATATATGTTATCCCAAACCATCAATGGTATCGCCAAAAAAACCAATCCATTCTTCATTTTTTCAGGTTTAAAGAGAATGAGGGCCTATTAAGAGGTCATTCCGTCATGCTACAACCATCTTTAGCCGAAAAATAATTTCCATGATCACACGAAATGATTTAAATTGAAGCAAAGCGAAAACAACAGCATCACCAGACCAAAAGATCCTATTAACCAAAATTTCTTTTTTGTTTATGCAGTCAAACATTTCTTTAATCTGGTGACTTGCGCATAATGCAGAAGTCGTGGATTTTTTTTGGTCTGAAAACGATCAACCAACAATTTCACTTTGAATGATCCGAACACGTAGTATTCGATATTAGTTCTTTGACACGAGTCATATCAAAAACCATACTTTAACTCATTCTTTTGCCCCCTAAAAAGAACAAAATTATTACCTAAATTTGTCGTTAATTCGTCCCTCAATTTGTTTATACTTTCTCTGTCACGTTGGAAATTTAGAATTGTCACATTCCTTCTTAACAGAAAAACATCACTTAACTTTCACTTTCACGCAATTCCTCAACCAACCTCCGTAATCGTTATCTAATACCAGACGAAGATTTTCAAACGCCGCGTATCGCTATGGTCGAAAAACAAAACTCGCAGGCCAGTAAAGCCAATATTCCATATTTTCGCGTTTTGAGGGTTTTAACTCTGTTCTATTTGATGATTTTGCTAAAATGGATTATCCATATGACGATTCCGAATATAATTTTTCGAAAAGTTTTTTCTAACCTGAACGAAGTTCTTTTTTGTGTTACCAGTACATGTATTAGGGTTACATATCAGTATTTAGACAACAGCGTATTCAGACTGGTCAGTATTTAGACAAATACTGTTTCAACCAATCAGAATTGAGACAAAGAAGAATTTAATAAATAATTATGATTTATTTTGGATTATTTATGTCTTTTCTCGGTTCTGATTGGTTCATACAGTATTTGTCTAAATACTGGCTGCACTCCATGTATTAGTACGTACGGTATCGGTTTTAGGTGGTACTAGTACTTGCCACCTCTACTCAAGGGTACTCCGCTAAACTTTTGATGAATAATAATCAAAATAATCATAATGAACAAGAATTTAGGAGAAATTAATCCAAGGGAGTTAGCTCTTTTTCAGTTTTTGTCAAATCAAAAGTTTTCAAAATTTGATTTTCTAATGTTTTTACAGTTCATGCATCGGCAGTCAATTCTCCACAAGCATGGATCGTTTCCGTTGAATTTCTCTTTAAAATATCTCCAGAATAAACAATAAAAACGAATCGCAGAGAAAACTATTCCGAGTCAAATCAACTCATCACCTGCTATAAATAGCTCAATAGAAGAGTTGACATGGTACCGGTACTAGAACATTTGGTACTAGTACAAGTACTAGTACGATACGGTACGGTACCCAAGTTGAGAGGTACTAGTACCTTGCCAACATGGGGTAATTTTTAACCTAGTATTCGTTGATTGAAAAATTGCTTTTCGCGTTTTCAGGGTTTTAACTCTGTTCTATCTGATGATTTTGCTAAAATCGATTATCCAAATGACGATTCTAAATGTAATTTTTCGAAAAAAATTTTTTTAACCTGAACGAAGTCCATTTTCGTGGTACCAGTTAATGTATTAGTACGTACCAAAAGGTACGGTATCGGTTTTAGATGGTACTAGTACTTGCCACCTCTACTCAATGGTACTCCGCTAAATTTATGATGAATAATAATCGTAATAATCATAATAAACAAGAAATTAGAAAAAACAAATGCAAGGGAGTTAGGGCCCTTTCACTTTTTTTCAAATGAAAAGTTTTAAAAATTTAGTTTTCTAATGTTTTTACCGTTCATGCATCGGCAGTCAATTCTCCACGAGCATTGATCGTTTTGTTGAATTTCTCTTTAAAATATCTGCAGAATAAACAATAAAAACAAATCGCAGAGAAAACTATTCCGAGTCACCTCAACTCATCACCTGCTATAAATAGCTCAATAGTAGAGTTGACATGGTACCAGTACTAGAACGTTTGGTTCTAGTACATGTACTAGTACGGTACAGTACGGTACCCGGCTCTTTTTGCTTCCCCCCCCCCCCCCCACCTGCAAATTTTTACTTGTAAATTTGTTGACCACATTGCCCGATTGTTATGAAACTTTACATACAGACTAATAATGGCACGGCAAACATATTTGATCTGCATACTCAACCTCGTGAAACCACTCGTTACACTTATATGTTCCAATTGGCGTGCGGTGGGAGGGAAAAGGAAAAAGAGCCCGGTACGCAAGTTGAGAGGTACTAGTACTAGTAATGCAGCACCAGGCTCTACAGAAACCATCCAGAAACTTGCAGAGAAACTAAGCGAGAAACGGAACGAATCATACTCGGACACAATAAATTTTACAAGAACAAAAATAAGTTTTTCACTTCTGAGGAGTGCAATCTTCTGCCTTAAGGGGTGCAAAAAGTTTAATAGACCTTTTTTTTTAAAAGTTTTAAATATCTTCAGAAAAGATTCGATTAGGTTCTCTTATGTTTTCGTGCTCCGTGGTTTCGAATTTGAAGTGTTCATTCAAGGCATTCGTAATATTGCAGGCGCTCAGGAAAAATTCAGATTCTGAATTTTGCAGTCGAAATTGTTTGCTTTTGTAATTTTTCATACTCACATATCTTGTTTGTCCTTTTTCCTTAACACTTATGAATTTTTGTATATGTAGGGAAATCAATCGATCTTTGTATTTTTGAGTTGGACTCAATATCCATGCTGTTGCTTTATTTTGTACACTTTATTATATTTTGAGATCCATTTTTGAGCGTTTCCATAATGATGAGCCATAACTTACAATAGGTTCAAGATTTGATTTATATGATTTTAATTTCATGGCTTTTGTTGTTATTTTGGAGATGCTTCTTTTCACAGAGCATAATGCCTTCAGATCTTTGGCAGATCTGTTTGTGGCATGTTCAGTCCAACTCAATGTGCTAGTGATTATAAGACCAAAACTTTTCATTTCAGCTGTTTCTTCAAGAATAGTTCCATTTACTTCAACTTTTGCATTTCCTTTCACACTGAGAGTTTTGGTTTTTGACACATTTACTGCCATAGAATTCTGTACACACCAATTCCAAATTGTTCGTTCTGTACACACCAATGAAATGTTCGTTCCAGCAATCCTAGAGTTAATCGGATGCTAGCCTTTTTCGGTTGTAAAATTTGTAGAAAAATGAAAACTTTTTTGTTAGGAAATTGTCAATATCATACTTGAAATAGTTTTGCAATAATCATAGCTATAATATGATGTCCGAGAAGTGACAAAGAAACATTGCTTTGGCAGTTATGCACACGCCTTCACAGGCGGGTGAAACTTCGCTTCATATATTGTCACTCAGATCGTTGACAAATGAAAAAATAACAGAATCCAAAAACCGGAATCTGAGAAAAACCAATATTCGCAGAGATTAGCGATAGAAATAGGTCAACCCGGTTAGACCATAATAAGAGAAAACTCGCCTCAATCAGTTGGTTATTATTTTCAAAAACTCACTTAAGAAAGAATGGTGAAAGAACTAGAAAGGTGTAAATATATCAAGACTGCACAACTGGTGGCGTTTGTATGTTAGCCGTCTAGTGCCTCCATGATGCACCCTGCATGGCCTTTTAGATGGCAAGGTTGAATCGTTGTTTAAGCTTCCGAAAAGAGGCCAGCTCACCTGTAACCGTGTCTACCCGGCGGGCAAGATCTTGTAGGGATGTCAAGGAAGTCTTACCTATGGCAACTGATGTGTCGATGGCAACGGGCTCAAAAAGGAAAAAGATGGACAAGTCAGAGAAGAATAGCCGTTTCTTAATTTCCGCTTGGGTGGCCGGAGATGATCCGGGTAGGGATCGAGACTGAACATTGGAGTTTGCTAATCTGCTAAAGCATGTGAAGTCCCAAACAAGCTTTCTACCAACACTCCAAGGAATCAGTGTCAAGCCATCTGATCTTCTGCCGTCTTTCCAAAAAAGACCAACAGGCTGGTATGGAATCTGGGCTGTCTTCAGTGCTTCTTTTAAAAGCACGTTGCAGTTGTTATGTCTGGTGAACCGGTGCTTTATTTTAGGGCAAATCCAAGCATCTAGCTCGTCTGCGGCAGCAAAGCACCACATTCAGACTTATGTTGAGCTCTGACAAGAGCTCCCAGGCGAAGTGCTGAGGCTATGCGGAGCTCGTCGTTGGAAAAACTGAGTCCCAAAGGGCGAGATGGTAAAACGTCAATCCAGTCACCTGCTCCTACAGCCCGTGCACCTTGAAGGCGAGCAGCTTCTCCTGGTGAGGCAGCGGAATCAAAAAGGGCGGTGAAAAGGCGTTCAAAAATTGGTGACAGCCACGCTTTCTGGTGAGCACTGAGAGTTTGACTGGCGAAGTTGTGGACACTTAGGGACTCCCAGTGTACGGTGGCTTCAGTGAACTAAACAACTGCTGTGGTGCAATCGTAGGTTTTGGTCTTCAGTGTGGTAGTGGCTACGTATGACAAAGTGAACGTCGACAAGGAAATAGATGAAGCCCTTAGCACACCGAAATCTCTTTCCTTGGTTGGCAGCGAGATTCTTTGTTGAACTCTTTCATTCAGCAAGCAGTTGAAGACACGCGCGAGTTCTAACGAGACGTGCTGGTCTAATTCCCTCATTAAGTCATCGTCCTTAAAAGCTGGACTAGCACGGAGAACATACATCAATTTGGGTATCGTAAAATATTTTTTCATGAGAAAAAAATACCGCTTGGCTCGCAAATTGTTGAGTGCGTTCTGTCAGCTTCTTGACGTTGTCAAGTTTGACTTGAGTTCACACCTGATGGCTTCCTCACATAAGCCGGCACC